TTCAGGCTGCTCCAGGGCCAGCCGGCCCCTCTCTGGAGGGCGTCCACTTAGTTTCCGGAGCCTTGTTCTCCTTTGGGTGAAGTGGGGGTGGGAATGGCTGGGAGCTAAGGTAGGGTCCAGGGTGCAGTGGGTGTGAAAGAGCTTTTGTCATCATGGGCATGATCTTCAGGAACCTGGGCTGGAGGCTGCAGACAGCGGGTTCGGCAACCAGCTCCACCACTGACACTGTGTGACCTCGGGGCCCTCACGTCTCGCTGCACCCCTGCACCTGCGAAGGGGAGCCAGGTGGCCCTGCCTGCTCGGTTCAGACAGGGGAGCACGTGGAATGGCCCTGGCACATAGCAACCACCCCCCACTGTGAGCTGTTATTTCCGTGCAGGTGACTGTGAGCTCAGGGGCACTTGCTCAGGCCTGAGGCTCCCTGACCCTGGGCAGAGCTGTCCCTCGGGCATGGGACCAAGCTCTGGGCGGTGGAGGGAGAGCTCTGGGCGGTGTCATGGTTCAATTCCTGGGGGCCGGAGTGGCTAGGACTGGATGGCCAGCGGATCCATGTTGATTTCAGCCGCCATGACTCACCCCCGCCCCCACAGCCCACCACGGGCACGCAGACGCCAGGCCGGTGGGTCTCCCTCCTTGGCATTTCACTACCATGTCCTCTCCTCTCCACGCCCTCTGCCCTGTCCCAGCCCAGGTGACCATCACCTCTCCTCCGGCCCACCCTTCCTTCCTCCCGAAAGTGAAGCCTGGCCTCACAGTCCTGCAGCCGCTCCCATCGCCCTCGGAGCCCAGGTTCTTTACCGTGGCTCCCGAGGGGCTAGTCCTCCTCTTGCCCACCTCTTTCCGAAACCCCCGGGCCTGGCACAGGTCCAGTCACTCAGTGGTGCTCAGTAAACGTCGAGTGAACAAATGCAGGCCTGGATGAGAAGCCTGGCCAGCTCAGGATGCCTGGATGAGAGTGGTGGCCGTAATTATGCTGCTGGTCAAGGGGTCTACGTGTATCCTCTCATTTAATCCTCCTGACAAGCCTCTGAGAGGGATGCTTTCGTCGTCCCCGTTTTACGGATGAGAAGACGGAGTCTGCAGAAGTTAAGTCACTTGCCTGCCCCGCTGGCCAGAGGCAGAGCTGGAATTGAAGCGCAGGCTGGCTGGCTCCCGAGGGCACAACGTTACCCAGTTGGCCGGGCTGGGAGGGGCGGGGTGGCTGGCCTGCCTGGTGAGATGGTGGATTGGGAATGTGCTGAGGTCTCTCTACAGTCTTTCTGCTCTTTCTGTGTTCACACGCGGAAGGATGAGAAGCAGACTGGTCAGCAGTAATTACACATCGTCTCGCTACATCTCACCAGGTCCATGGAAGTAGCCGCAGATACAGCCTGTTCACTGGGTTCAGCACCTCCCTGTCCTGGTTGTCCCCTCTTCTGTGTTCTCCAAGGGAGGTCGCCGTGCGCCCCGCTACCCAGGCAGCGAGCCTCAGACTCCTTGTCCCCGTTTGTCTCCCGCAGATGTCATGGCACCCCCAGTACCGGAGCTCCAAGTTCCGCCACGTCTTTGGCAAACCAGCCAGCAAGGAGAACTGCTACGACTCGGTGCCCATCACCCACAGCGTCCACGACAATCACTTCTGCGCCGTGAACCCCCACTTCATCGCAGTGGTGACCGAGTGTGCTGGAGGGGGGGCCTTCCTCGTCATCCCCCTACACCAGGTAAGGGCGCCTGGCGAGCCCAGGCCCGGAGGCTCTCTGGAGGCAGCTCAGGGCAGAGGGAAGGTAGAAAGAGCCTGCTTTCTGCTGCGGTGCGCGGGTTCAAACCCGAGACCTGCCTGCTCCAGCCGCGTGACCTTGAATAAGTCACTTCACCTCCATAAGCCTTCGTTTCTTCACTGGGAAAAATATACCTCTCCTGGGGTTTCAGCAGTTGCCTAACTATTCCTGGGATTTCCCCTCTACCCCACTGCAAAATGATTCACTCCTGAATAAAACGTATTTTTTAATGCATTGCCAGGCTCACACGACATCTGGGACATCTCCAAAGCCACTTGCTCTCCCCCGTAAAGGAAACCAACCTTAAGCCAAAACCTAAGGCGGGAGAGGACAGCAGTAAGTGAACAGAAAGAACTGGCCTGTCCTGAGGGCAGATGTAGGCAGTAGAGGTTGGACCTTTGGCATTTGCTGATATTGAACAGTGTTGGACCCCCAAGTGGCAGTTTCATATAGATTCACCCAATAGCAGATCTTTTCGGGGACCTGCGTCTCTGCCTAGAGGGGGACCCTCCAGGGGTCTCAGCCATGCCGGGTTGGTAGGGCCTCTGGTTCGCAGCAAATGCAGACACAGGTCTCTGGAGGAAACAGTTCAGTGCGGACGGGAGTCCCACAGATTCAGGTCAGCGAACTCATAATCTGAGGTCACCCGCACGTAAGCCACCAGCATTCAGAAACAACAGAGCACTTCAGAACTTACCAATCACCGATCGGAATCTCACTACCCGGGTGTTCTGCTGGGACCTCCTATACTTGGAATAGGGGGGAAAGAACCAGTACTTTTTTTATCCATATGGCACATTGAGGGCACACGGTTGGTGCTCGTACATGTTCATTGATTGAACAAATTACCCGGGAATCGTTCATCCAAATAAATAGGGAGGGCATAATTGGCAAAGGGAATGGCACAAGCCAAGGCATGGGGTGGGGACTGTGTGTGGACTGTCCAGGGAACAATGCAGAGAGCTGTCTGGCCAGAACAGATAGAACAGTCTATCTAAGGGAGGAAGGGAAATACCCTGGGGAAGTTCATCAGGGTCCGATGAGAATGGCCTGGAATGCCGGGGTGAGAAGTGTGAGCTGTATTCTAGAAAGATGAAATTTTTCAAGCGAGGGAGGAACAAGTGTACAATGGGATTTATGGAAAGACGTCAAGGTTAGAGCTGGACGGACCCCCAGACATGGCCTGTTTGGCTACTTATTTCTTCCACGTTCTGGGTGCTTCTAAAAGACTCTGTCCAGCCTGGCCAGTATGCTTCAATGGTTAAGCATCAGCCTATGAACCAGGAGGTCATGGTTCAATTCCTGGGTTTCGGGCTGGATCCCCAGTAGGGGGCGTGCAGGAGGCAGCCAATCAGTGATTCTCATTATTGGTGTTTCTCTCTCTCCCCCTCTCCCTTCCTCTCTGAAATCAATAAGAAATATATAAAAAAATAAAATAAAAGATTCTGGCCCTAACCGGTTTGGCTCAGTGGATAGAGCGTCGGCCTGTGGACTGAATGGTCCCAGGTTCGAGACTGACTAAGGGCATGTACCTTGGTTGTGGGCACATCCCCAGTAGGGGGTGTGCAGGAGGCAGCCGATCGATGTTTCTCTCTCATCGATGTTTCCAACTCTCTATCCCTCTCCCTTCCTCTCTATAAAAAATCCATAAAAAATATATAAAAAGAAATTCACCTACATCCATTCATATTTTTTTCTTCATGTTTGTTATTGTGGGCTCAGAGAAAACAATTAGGTTCATGGCACTAAGGTCAATTACCTAGTAATTACATATTAATGTGTTTTTTTTCCTGATTTTTATGACTTGGACTTTGTCAGAAGTGTCATGGTTTCCAACTTGCATGAAACATTGAGTATGGATAGGTGTTAATAACTGCGATGAGATAAGGAATTGGTTTGATGTGATGGAATGTGACCTGGGAGGGGCGAGAGGATTAGGTCAGAGAGAAGGAGCAGAGAAAGCCTTTCTGGGGAGCTGACACTTGGGCAGAGAGCCACTAGAAACCCTAGAGGCAGAGGATTCGGGTAGAATGCACAGCACATGCAGCGGCCCTGCGGTGGGAATGGGTTTGGTGATTGAGAAACAGACAGGTGTGTTGTCACATGGCAAGAGCAGTGGGAGGTGGTCAGAGAGGGGAGCAGGGCTGGGCTGTGATGACCCTGGAGGCAAGGGCAGGAGTCCGGCTCCATTGTGTGTCCAGCGGGACTCTACTCGGAGGGTTGAGATGCAGTTATCCTGTGCAGCCTGATCGCGGGTAAAATGTGCAGTTAGTTCCCTTTGGGCTTTTTGAAACAGTGGCATAAGTGGCTGAGGACACGTGGTATTTGCTGAACTAGTCAGAGCTCATGCCTTGGTGTCACTTGGACGCGATTCTGACTCGGTAGCTCTGCGGTGGGGCCGGAGAGTCTGCATCCCAGCAGGCCCCAGAGTGGCCAGAGGAAACGCAGGACGCCAGTCAAATCTGCACTTCAGAGAAGCACCAAATACCTTCTTGTTTATTTTTTCTTTTTAATGAAACGTTCTTGTTTTGAGATCATTGAACATTCACACGCAATAGTAAGGAATAACATATTCGATGTGCCCTGCACCCTTTCCGCCCAACTGGTAACATCTTGTGAGACTGGAGTACAGTCTCACCACCAGGATACCCACATCGGAGCGGTCAAGATGCAGAATGCTGCCAGCGTCACCAAATCTCCCGGGCTGCCCTTCTCAGCCACAGCTACTTCCCTCGCTCCCCTCTCACCTTAGGCCCCCACAGCCACTCTGTCCTCCATTTCCCTGCTCTTGTCATTGTAAGAATGTCACCTGGATGGAGCCATACGGGATGGAACCTTTGGGCGTGGCTTTTTTTCACTCAGCATAAAAGATCCACCCAAGTTGCTGCGTGTTATCAGTTGCCTGTTCTTTTTTATTGCTGAGTAGTATTCCTTTCGGGGTGTGAATGCAACACAGTTCGTTTAACCATTTACCCGTTGAAGGTCATCTGGATGGTTCCCAGTTTGGGGCTGTTATGAGTAAAGCTGCTATAAACATCCGCCTACAGGTTTCTGTGTGAACATAAGTCAGTCTCCAGGTCTGTGGGACAGAGGCCCAGGAGGGCAGCGACGAGGCCCGTGATGGTGAACCTATGACACCTCTGACACGCAAACTCATTTTTTTGGTTGATTTTTCTTTGTTAAATGGCATTGAAATATATAAAAGAAATATCAGAAATATAAGTCTTTGATTTACTATGGTTGCAAATATCAAAAAATTTCCATATGTGACACGGCACCAGAGTTAAGTTAGGGTTTTTCAAAATGCTGACTCGTCGAGCTCGAAAGGTTCGCCATCACTGGACTAGGTCGTCAAACCTGTGTCCTTTTATAAGAAATTGCCAAGCTCTTTGCAGAGAATTCCTCGGTATCGGTAAAATATCATACGGGACGTACTCAGACCAGAAGTAACATGTGTTGTGTATGTGAGATTCAAATACCCCTGGGCAGCCCGTATTTTTATTTGCTAATTCTGGCGACTCTTCTCCCAGGTGGTGCCGCCTGATTTGCAAACTGCATTTCAGTCCTAGACAGCCGCCTCGTTCTTTTTTATAATCATGAAAAATGGCCAAACACAAAAGTAGGTAGAAAACAACATAACAAACTCTTCGACACCCAGATTCTAGAATTTTCGAGACTGCTCCTCTTGCTTCATCCATCCCTTTACCCCGCACTGAAGGCTTCTAAAGCAAACCCTGGACATGTTGTCAATTTATCCCCACAAACTTCAGTATCCAGTTCTGAAAAGTAAGGGCGCTTTCTGTCCTGCCCACAATGCCAGGATCACAGCACGGTCACGGGCTCCTGGGTCACCCTCTTTAGCCACAGCCGCTTCCCTCTCTCCCACCCGCTCATGTGAACCGTCTCTGGTGCCTCCTAAGTGCCTCCTTGTGTCTGAATCAGGTCCAGAAAGGCCCCTCAGCACATTTGGTTGGTAGTTTCTTACGTAACCACGTCCAGGGTGAGGGAGCAGGAAGGAGAGGCCGAGAGAGGGGAAGGACACAGGTGCCGGTCCCATCGCGCAGCCCTGACTCAGGGCAGATAAGACAGTGCTGACGTGGGTGCCATTGGTCCGTTGTTTGGGGAGCCTTGCCCCGTTGTACAGAGGAGATTCTGAGGCTTGGGGAGATGACTTCCCCGAGGACCCTGAGCAGTAAGAGTGAGGACCCAAATGTGGCCCAGATATAGCTCCTTGTTGGTCACCAGGGATTATGTCCCATCCAGGCAGAGACGTGTCGGTAAAGAGTGCCCTGTGAAGGCAGGGAGGGGAGGAAGGGACCAGTTAGCTACTCATTTAATGGAATGCCTGCGTTGGAAGGTGTCCCGGAAGTTCTCAAAAGGGCTAGGCTGCCCCAGGCGGTGTCAGGTGTCCCAGAGGGTGTGCCCCTGCAGTCAGGGCCCTTCCTTTTGCATGCTGTGACCCAGGGTGAACCCCTTGGAGGGAGGTGCTTGCAGCCTTGGCAACAGAGGACTGTGCTCCCAGAATAGGGCACAGCGGGAAGGTCTGGGGACAGGCCTGGCCCGAGCCTGGGGGTGTGCCAGGTTGGGCTCCTGACCCTGGGGCCCGCTTGCAACAGATCCACCTCTTGAAGGTACAAGGGTGGACTTTGCTGTGAGGTGTGGAGGATGGACAGGAAGGAAGGCAAGGGCAGGCCGTCGGGGCTGGGACGTTGCTGGGAGTGGACCAGGCCAGAGGGGAGCCATGGGCCTGCGGGGTCGAATGGACATCAGGGGCTGCAGGTGCCTGGGGGAAGGGGCACGTTTGCTGCGCTCTTAGAGGCCAGACGGACCACCTCAAGCCGGTGTCTACCCAGGCCACTCCCCTGCTCAGAGGCCTCCCATGACTCCCCACTCACTGCCTGCAACTAAGTCCTGCCTTCCTCGCCGAGCTCCCATCATCGTCC